CTACTTTCTTGTAGTTTTTAATGGAGATCTTCTATTTTTTTGTGATTACTCCTTAAGTCCTTCACTTTTTCATGTACTTGGCGTCAGTTTTTTACTTTTTCGAAGTTTTTGGGTGGGATTAATATTTAATCGAAGACTGAATGTTACCATATGCATTGTAAATATTCAATTAATTCGGAGATGTACATACCTAATGCCTTTTAAAGTTTTAGATTATTACACCAATGTTTTTCGAGAAAGTAATATTTCCGAATATGAAAAGCTGAAAAAAAGTAATTGTGAGATATTTTTCTATATCTTATACCTATTAATTGAAACAATTAAAACTTAATATCTCCGACATAATTAAACATTTGTGATACATACAGTGTCATTCAGTGTTCAATTAAACATTAATAACAATTATGGTTAAGAATAAGTATTCATTGAAGACATTAATCGTGAGGAAGTTACCAATATTTTAACATCTATTGGTTGGACCGACTAAATATTAATTTCTGGCAATATTTAAATTAATTATTAACAATAATTGTTTAAACAATGTTGGAGAATATTATTTTGCTGTGCCGTGGTGCAGAAAGTAGAGGACTGGTTCGGAGGCATCGATCGTCCTCTCGAGTCAGACCCACTAAGAGGGAACGGGACTGACTAAGTAAGCCCAGATGCATGGTCACGCCGTGTCGCAATTTCCACTTCTTGTTAGTTCAAATAATTGTTTGGCGGAGTCAGACATAGACTTTGGAAATCGAAGGGAATTTTGTTTTCCTTTGATTTTCATGGTTTCATACTTAGTATTAAGCTCGTCGACTTTACAGTACAGTATGCATCTATGTGTGTATACTATATGTAGAGGGAGATCGAGGGAAGTTTGATTCCGTCTATCTCCGAGTCTCCAGTCGTAGTACCTTCCACGCGACGAGACCTGGTAATCGGTATTATTCGTGACAAACAATCCTTCGTCGCGAGTAATGTCGAGCTAATTGCAATTGTAAAGTCTCTGAATTCTGACCGGTCTCACGAAATGAATTGTAATTTCGTTATTTCAATTTTAATTGCGATGCTATTTTTGGAACACTTTCTTGAAACATTGTACTTTTGACGTATACGAACAAAAATTCGATTTTTCTAACCTGTTACACTGAAATCCCTTCTTAATCCGTTATTAAAGTAGGTTATTTCAGATAATAGCGAATAAATTTTTGCAGTCAAAGAAATACTGACTGCACTATTAATCTGTAGGTTTCCATTGATTTCGCTATTCCATTATAAATGATAATATATTTTTACGAGATGAGCGTCATTAACGAACTTTTGTTCATTCCATCTCGTATGCGATACCTGAGAAATATAAAAAAATGTTGTAGCATAAGTATGGCCGAATGTAATCCAATAACATTGTGGGTATAAGCAATGTACACTGACGGACAAAATTAAAGGGAATCTTTTTTAAAACGTCATATCTATTGGAGTTTTTAACCGATTTTAAAGAAACTTCGCGAGGAGTAGTTTTGAAGTGTCCTCTAAATGTGCGCAAAGTTGCATTTGCGAGGGTTGACAGGAAGGAGTTAAGTCACCCCCGTAAAGACGGGCACGTCAAAAAACGCCACTTCTGAAGAGGCCAAGGTTGACGGAAGGGGTTGAAAAAATCAAAAAAACCTTTGGGGCGACCCTCCTCGACGCCCTCAACAAAATGCACCCCTCGAAATCCCTCTCGGGCAAACCCACCCCTCACAACACCCCATCCCCTCCAAAATCCACAATTTTTGGACTTCAGTCCCGAATTTGGGCTCAATGCATTCCCTGGAATCTCCTGATCCAGGAAATGCCAACGCCCACGCCCCATAGGCACCCCTTGGAAGGATAGAACAGTTCGCCACTTTTCAACACCCTTCGTAAGGGAACATTTCCACACCTCGAAGGGCGGTGAAATTCACCATGTTTATTCTCGGTACGTTAAGGATCAATGTCATTTAAAGCTCGTTTCGAAAACTGTCCCTGAAACTGAACAGGATGGCCCAGAGTTAGAGGTGGTCCACCCACGGGAGCATAAGGCTGGACGCACGCTTTCCTGGCACTGGGGCAGTTGGTCGAGATCACCATGCCTCTTCCACAAATCTCCAGATCAGGTCAAAAACCACGAACTAGCTGATATTCCCTTGGCGCTTCGGCGTCCTCCTAGGCGGGGAATTTCGGCGAAGTCGGCGGGCTGCGTCCGGTCAAGTTCACTCACCGCACCTCCTCGTGGTGCTCCTGGGTCTCTGCTTCAGGAGTCGGCGCTCGCTTGCGAGAGATGACTTGCTGGATGCGGAGGGCGAACGCGGTGAGCTGTCATCTGGCGGATCCTCTGTTGACGACATGGCAAGTTTGGAGGCATGGGTACGGTGCCTACCCGCAATGGGGTGCTTTGAAAATGAACATGGACAACCGAGAATTAAGCGTTTACGGTGCAGAGGGCGTCGGATCCCTTAGTACCGGCGCGGTAAGGAGTAGTCGACCAAGCTCCCCCGCGTCGTTATCTTACAACTGGGAAAACCCCGGGGTGGACCACCAGGCCCCCGGGTTCAGCAATGCGCCTGGTGAAGAGACGTCTGTAGCAGGGACCTCCTCCGCTGCGGCGTCTTTCGGCGTCAGGGTGCGCGAGGACGTGCTTCTTGCGCAGCCCGTCGTCCCGTTGGAGAGGGTGGAGGGGCGGGAGTTCCGCTCCAGCCGCCTCCCGGCGGCTGCAGACGCGTCCGGCACCGGCGCTGACTCCGACGGGTCAGACAGCTCGGTGTGGTCGGCGCGCTCCCTGCAGTCGCCACTAAGGAGGAAGCGAGGTCGACCCCTACGGCTGGGGATTGTGTCGACCTCGCCGACGCTAAGCGAAAGCCTAGCGAGAGAGAGCAGCGCCTGGCGATGGACGACGCGGACCATTTAGTGTCCTCCGTCCGGATCTCCAGGTCCTACAAGCCCCTTAAGGGCGAAGAGGAGCTGGCGGCGGAGATGCGCCACGCGCCGACCGCCGAACTAGACTCTCGGATTCTCGAGAGCTCGGAGGCGGTCCTGAGGATTGCGAAATGCTCCAACAACCTTCAGGGGCCGATGGTGTGCCAGCTGCGGATTGCAGCGGCCACTATCAGACACGCTGCCGTCGAACAGGCGAAGCGTGTCAAGACCTCGTCCCGGGAGGTGGAGCTGGAGCGGACGGTCGCCGAGCTCAGGGCCCGCGTGACCGAGCTGAAAGCCCCGATTGCGCCGGGCCCGGTCGCGCCTGCCGCGGTACCGCCGCCCGTCGATCCGGCGGTATCGGTGCCGGTACCCCCATCGCGGCCGAGTGCGTCCTTGACGGCGAGGTCGAGTCGGCCTGCTGCCTCGAGGCCTGCGCCCGCCGGTCCGTCGCGGAAGTCTGCGATGGGCGGCGCGACCCTCGCGCCGTGCGTGGACGTCGAGGACCTCATCCGTCGCCTCTGCGGCGAGATGGAGGTGCGCCTCGCGGCGCGCCTATGGGCGGTCTCGATGGTGGCCGCCGGGATCGGGGCTCCGCAGCGGGTGCCGCGGGCCGCGCCACGCCCTTCTGCGGGTCCCTTCCCACCTGGCCCCTCGGCGGTAGGGAGCCGCCCCGGGACAGTCAACGGGGAGCCCGCTAAAAGAAGAGAGGCAGAAAGAGGAGCGGGAAGAATCAAGCGGGTGGCGCCGCTGCCCATCCTGCTCCGGCCTTGTCGGGCCGAGACTGGCCCCGTGCCGCACCTGCCCCGGCTGCGTCCCGGGCGAGGCCTCCGCCTGCGCCTGTCGCGCCCTCCCTTACCCGTCCAGCACCTGAGACATGGTCGAAGGTGCTCGGACGCAAGGAGAGGCGTGCGGAGGCGGCACGTTTTCGCACTCGCGGGGTGTGGCCGGCTAGAGCTCCGGCCGGGCCGTGGTTTCGTCCGGCGCGTGCGCCGAAGAGGGCGGCGGTATCCCTCACCGTCGCCCTGGGCAGCGCCAGGATCTAGTCAGAGGTCATGGCAAAGGCGGTCGCTGGCGGGCGGTTACGGGATGTCGGGGTAACCGGCATCCTGTACCGCAAGGGGCAGACCGGGTCCTCCATTTTGGAGATCCCGGGCCCGGACAGCGCTGCCGGGGCTGACCGCTTGGCCGGTCGCCTGGCGGAGCTGTTCGACGGCACGAACGTGAGGGTGTCCAGGCCGATTAAATCCGCCGAGGCGCGGGTTTGCGGCCAGGACGAATCCGTCACGGCCGACGGCGTGGCGGCGGCAGTTGCCGCGGAAACCGGGTGCCCGGTGGACGGGGTCCAGACCGGCATCATCCGGCGTTCCGGGTCCGGGCTAGGCACCGTCTGGCTCCGCTGTTTGGCGGCTGCCATGAGGGCCCTCCTGGCGGCTGGCCCCCCGCTCGTCGGCTGGTCGTCCGCCCGAATGGAGGCCTTGCCCACGCGAGCCCTCCGATGCTTCAGGTGCCTGGAGCTAGGGCACGTGCGGCAGAAATGCCCCCTCGAGGCGAACCGCGGGGACCGGTGCTACAGGTGCGCCGGTGCGGGCCACCGGGCAGGTCAGCCGACCACCGGCTCGGAGCCAAAAATGTGCCCCTCCACCGCCAAAGCAGGGGAGGAGGGCTCGCGTGTCGACCCCGAGTTCGGGCGAATCTACGCCGGTCAATCGACCGGCGGCAGATACGCCGGCGCTGGCGCCGGCTGAGGCGCTGCTGGCGAGATCGCCCGCTGCGATGGAGGGAAAATCCGGCCTGTGGGAGGCCATGGACATGGCCTAAAGTTCATACCCGCGGTCCGGATCCTACAAGCCAACCTCAACCACTCGGCCAGGGCGCAGGACTTATTTATCCACTGCCTGGCCGAGTTAGGTGTGGGGTTGGCGGTCGCCGCGGAGCCATACCGCGTCACTGACCGCCCGAACTGGGTGGCCGACGCGTTGGGCGTGGTGATAGTGGGCAGCGACACCGCGGCCCTCTGCGTGTTCGCCCGCGGCGACGGGTTCGTCGGGGCGGAGTGCGGCGGCCTGGCCCTGATGGGGGTCTACGCCTCTCCGAGTGCCCCCATCGTGGCGTTTGAGTGGCTGCTGGACGGGGTCCGAGACGCATTGTCCCGCTCTCCAGTAGCCCGAACGCTCGTGCTGGGCGACTTCAACGCCAAGTCCACGGCGTGGGGTGGCCCGGCAACGGACGCAAGGGGTCGGGCGGTGCTGAAGTGGGCGGCGAGCGCGGACCTGCGGCTGCTTAACCGGGGGTCCGTGAGCACGTGCGTGCGGTGGCAGGGCGAGTCGATCGTCGACTTGTCGTGGGCGACGCCTGCCGCCTCGCGTCTCGTGTCGGGATGGGGGGTAGCGGAGGAGGTGGAGTCCCTTAGTGACCACCTCTACATCCTTATGGATGTCTCCGCTGCCCCTCAGTACCATCCCGCTCACGGACCCGCGCCCGGCCGACCGCCGCACAGATGTGCGCTGAAGCGCTTGGAGAAGGACGCCCTGATTGCGGCCGCCCTTGCCGTGTCCTGGCCGAATGCCCCAACTGGACCGGTCGCGGACGTCGATCGGGAAGCTGACTATTTTCGGGAGTCATTGACGGCGGCGTGCGACGCCGCCATGCCCCGAGCCAAGAAGTTCCGTAGGCGGACCGCTTACTGGTGGAGCGATGAGATTGTCGCGTTGCGTGCTACATGCAGCGTGGCGCGACGTCGCTTCACGAGGGCCCGCCGGAGACGGAACCGCGACCCAGCGAGGGTGGCGGCGCAGTATGAGGTCTACCGAGAGGCCACGGTGGACCTCCAGTGTGCAATCGGGAGGGCCAAGGCGAGCGCCTGGGGAGAGCTCCTCGAGACTCTGGACAAGGATCCGTGGGGGCGGCCCTACCGCATCGTGCTGGGCCGCATGTGCCCGGCCGCCCCTCCTGTCATGGAGTCCCTCGACCCCCCCGTTCTGCAGCGTGTCGTGGATAACCTATTTCCGGTAGATCCGGAGGAGGGTCCGCGGCCGCTCCTGCCGGCGGAGGCCAGTAACTGGTCCGCCGGACTGGTGGTCACCGAGTGCAGTTGGCTGACTGCCAATACGGTTTCCGCGAGGACCGGTCGACGCTTGATGCGATCGACCACGTCCATGCCCTCGCGGACCGGGCGGTCTTCCGGGGTGGGGTGGCGTTGGCGATTAGTCTCGACATCGCAAAAGCATTCACCACCCTGCCCTGGGGCACGATCCGGGCGGCGCTCCGAGAACACGGAGTGCCTCCATATCTACGGGTCGTGGTAGCCGACTACCTATTGGACAGGTGGATCGATTACCCTGGCAGAGCCGGGGTGCCGATACGTCGGAGGGTCAGTCGAGGCGTGCCCCAGGGGTCCGTTTTAGGACCCCTGTTATGGATCTTGGGGTACGACTCGGTGTTGCGCGGGCTCCTCCAACCTGGGGTTTTTGTGGTTTGCTACGCAGATGACACATTGATCGTCGCGGTATGAGCCCAAAGCTTGAGCTCGCCGGCTACGTGAGCAGGGCCGCCCTACGCGGCAGACTGCCAGAATGAGGTGAGGGATTACGGGGTGGGACCAGTCCCCCCTGCGGCAGGGGCAGCAGCTAGCCCCCGTCGCCTGGCCCGCCTCAACCTCCTCCTCTCTATGCGAGCAGGATCGGTGCGCTCCCGATCCCGCTCGTCATCCTCCTTCCGCGAGACAGTAGTCTCGCAGAAGGAGGACACCGCGTTCCAGAATCTCTCGATCTCGACCATGGCCAAAACGACGGCCGGGAGCGAGAGGTCCCCTCCAATAGCTAAGCGGAGTGCCCGCCTCTCTCGCGAGAAGGCCGGGCACTTCTCCAGCAAGTGCTGCGCGGAGTCCAGTTCCGGTGGCACGCGGGTGACCCCCTCGGCCCCCACTTTGTGCAGGTACTCACCGAAACAACCATGTCCGGTGAGCACCTGCGTGTGCCGGTAGGTGAGTCGCCCGTGTCGGCGGTCCAGCCGAACATCGAAGCTCGGTCCTCTTTCGGGCGGCGCCGCTCTCCAGGAGCTAGCGCCGCCACTTTTCGCGGGCCAGCTGCCACCTTTGGCGCCGGTAGGCTCCAAACGCCTCGTCCTAAGGATCGCCCTCGTTCCGGCGGAGATCTTGCACACGCCGATACACGTCGGCGTGTGACTTCGCCTGGAAATCAAAGGGGACGACCCTCGCCAGGACGGCCGCCGCCTCGTGGGAGATCGTGCGATACCCGCGCGCGATCCTGATGGCCATATGCCGCTGCACGCGGCGCAGCAGGTGCCGCCCACGACGGCAGGCCACCAGGTCGCACGCCCATACGGGTGACCCTTATAGGGCCATGGATCGCACGACCCCCAGGTATAGCCGGCGGATCCTCTCTTCCGGCCCCCCGAGATTGGGCAGGAGACGACCCAACAAGGTCGTCACCGCCCAATTCGGGGGACCAGGCGGTCGAAATACCCCTTCCAGCGACACCGGTCGTCCGCGCAGCACTTGCTGGAGAAGTGCCCGGCCTTCTCGCGAGAGAGGCGGGCACTCCGCTTAGCTATTGGAGGGGACCTCTCGCTCCCGGTCGTCGTTTCGGCCATGGTCGAGATCGAGAGATTCTGGAACGCGGTGTCCTCCTTCTGCGAGACTACTGTCTCGCGGAAGGAGGATGACGAGCGGGATCGGGAGCGCACCGATCCTGCTCGCATAGAGAGGAGGAGGTTGAGGCGGGCCAGGCGACGGGGGCTAGCTGCTGCCCCTGCCGCAGGGGGGACTGGTCCCACCCCGTAATCCCTCACCTCATTCTGGCAGTCTGCCGCGTAGGGCGGCCCTGCTCACGTAGCCGGCGAGCTCAAGCTTTGGGCTCATACCGCGACGATCAATGTGTCATCTGCGTAGCAAACCACAAAGACCCCAGGTTGGAGGAGCCCGCGCAACACCGAGTCGTACCCCAAGTTACATAACAGGGGTCCTAAAACGGATCCCTGGGGCACGCCTCGGCTGACACTCCGACGTATCGGCACCCCGCCTCTGCCAGGGTACTCGATCCACCTGTCTGACAGGTAGTCGGCTAACACAACCCGTAGATATGGAGGCACTCCGTGTTCTCGGAGCGCCTCCCGGACCGTGCCCCAGAGTAGGGTGTTAAATGCGTTGGCGATGTCGAGACTAATCGCTAACGCCACCCCACCCCGGGAGACCGCCCGGTCCGCGAGGGCATGGACGTGGTCGATCGCATCAAGCGTCGACCGGCCCTCGCGGAAACCGTATTGGCAGTCAGCCAACTGCATACTCCCGTCGGACAGGCCTCTCGACAGGCGGGCAGCGAGCACACGCTCGAAGAGAATCCGCGGGCTCTCCCTTTTTCGGGATAAGGACCATCCGGGCCTGCTTCCAGGCCAGCGGAACCCGCTCCGACTCTAGGCAGCTGTCGAACAGCCGCCTGAGCCGGGGACCCAGGACGCGCAGCGCAAAAGCGAGCGCCCGCCCAGGAATGCCGTCGGGCCCTGGTGCCGTATTCCTAGCCACCATTCGCCCGACCGGCGGGTCCACCCCACTCCGACGGTACTCCCGCCCATGCCTATAAACTTCGGCGTCGGCGGCCGCCTGGAAATCAAAGGGGAGGGATCCCGCCTGGTTCAGTGCAGCATCCGTAGATACTGGCGAAAGTGAGGGCCGGGGCGTAAAATTCCCCTCGGGACGGGCCGACCACACATGCTTGGCCCGTCCCCACTTGGACTACCGGGTTTTGTGGGAGCGCACGGGGGGTGGGGTAGCGAGGGTCGGGATGTGCTAGATCACGCCTACGACGATCCTCCCTTACCGATGTCGGCGTCTTCTGGTCCTGGCGTTTAGGGAGCTCATCGTTCTCTGAACCAGTACGGGCATGAAGACGCCGGGGGCTGTGGGTGGACCGAGCGGGGGCTCGGGAAGCCCATTCTGACGGCCCCAGGGATGGGGACACTGGGCGGGTCCCTCCATATAGAGTAGGTAGTGGAGAAGGCTGGTACCCACCTTCCGGGATTCATGTAAGCTCGAAAGTGTCCTGCTGAATATCCGCGTGTTCCAGGCACTTTTCATGTAACTCAGGCGGGTGTGGGGTTTTAGTGGGTAGCCATCGCGGACGGGCGCGCCTCCGGCGCTCCCCTCCCCGATAGTAGTCCCACCGCCAGGAAACCGAGGTATGCGTAACGCATTTCCCAACAATAAGAAAAAAAAGAGGCGCATTCGGCTGCTCCCGGGGTGCCTGTACTTCTTCGGTGGTCGTCGCCGGCGCTTGCGCCGGCTCCAGAGTGACGGGCGTAGCACGTGACTCCTGGGCACTGTGTCTCCAGCTGCGTTACGGGGGTCTTCGTTTTCTTCTTTCGCCGGGAGGGGGGCAGCGCACAGTCCTTAGCTTCCAATCGATGACCGGACGGCCGCCCGAGATCGGCGCAAACAGCGCATTTTGGGGGTGCACTGCACTCCCGCACCCTGTGGTCGTCGCCGCCGCAGATATAACAGCGGTCAGTCCGGTCCACCTCCCAGGAGCACTGCTGCCTGACGTGTCATATCTCAAGACAACGGTAACACCTAAGGGGGTATGGCTCCAGGGCCTGCAGTCTCGCATAGACCCACCCCAGCTTCACCCTCTCGGCTGCCACGATCTTGGCTGCGGACACGCCGTCTTGGCCTGAGCGGGTCCGTCAAACGTCGCCGGCCCTCATGTCCGCAACGGCACAGCCCGCGGCAGCGGACAAAGATACCGCCACGGCTTCCGGGGTTGCGCACTCGTCCATTCCGCAGATGCGGATTTCCGCGCACTTCATCGACCTCGACACCCAGACGTCGGTTCCGCGGAAAAACTCCCCGAGCATGCCGACCAGCCTGTCTGCCTTGACGGCGCTCTCCGGCCCGGACACCTCAATGATCGAGGCTCCGGTGGTCCGCCTCCAGACGTCCAAATAGGAATAGTCAATGTGACAGCGGCCCTGTTGAGGGCGCAAGGCGGGCGCGGCTTTGCCGGAGGCGCCGCACTAGTAACGGAACTCTTCGGCGCTTTAGCCGGACCTTTGACGGCCGGCGGCTGGCGGGGCTTGGTGGCTGTGGCGGTTCTGTCTTTGCCACGCCGCTCTTTTCGTCCCACGACTGTAACCCAGGACTCCCCGTGAGCGTCCACCAGTATCGCTTGTGACGGCGAAGAGCACCTTCGCGCCGACGGAGGTCGCAACACGGTCGGACAGCCCGACGGAGGCGCAACCTCTACCTCCATGAGGGGTAGAGCGGGGCCAGGCACTGCCCGCGGCAGTGAAGAAGCCGAGGGCGTTGCACACACCCCGGGGACTTAGGCGAAGAAGTAGTGGCCAAGAAGCCGCTCCAGATCGCTTACCCGGGCGTGGAGGAGGAGTGTTGTACACTCCACCTCCTACTCACGCTCAGTCGCCGTCGTCTTCTTTCCCTGCTCCACGGCGGCGTGTTTTATGAACAACGCCGCCTCGCGGAGCTTGCCTTGGTCGTCGTTAAGGTATCCGTCCTTTTGCCAGCTCACCGCGTTCGCCCTCCGCATCCAGCAAGTCGGTTCTCGCAAGCGAGCTACGACTCCTGAAGCGGAGGCCCAGGAGCACCACGAGGAGGTGCGGTGAGTGGTTTTGACCGGACGCAGCCCGCCAACTTGGTCGTAATTCCCCGACCAGAAGGACGCCAAAGCGCCTCCCTGAAACAACGGAACATCAGCTAGGTCGTGGTATTCGACCCGACCTGGAGGTTTGTGGAAGAGGCATGGTGGCCTCAACAAACTGCACCAGTGCCAGGAAAACGTGCGTCCAGCCTCATGCTCCCAACTAACTTACTCTATACGAAGGGACCCGCTCAGTGTCCGCAACCCTGGGGCCGTCGGAATGGTCTTCCCGAGCCCCCGCTCGGTCGACCCACAGCCCCCGGCGTCTTCATGTCCCTACTGGTTCAGGGAACTATGAGCTCTCTGAACGCCAGGACCAAAAGACGCCGACACTGGTAAGGGAGGGTCGTCGGAGGCGTGATCTGGCACACCCCGACCCTCCCCGACCCCCCCCCCCCATGCGCCAGGGGCGTATGGACCACAAGACCCGGTGGTCCAAGTGGGGACGTCCCTAGGGGAATTTTATCCCCTCCGGGGGAAAGGGTCAGCTCACGCCCCGGCCCACCACATTCGCCGCCACGGTGCGAGGCACATGTCGTCGCGGGGGCGCCCTTTGCGACCCCCCACCATTCCTACCACCACGCAGAGACGTGCGCTGGCGCGAGAGACGTTCCCGCGCCCACACCCTCCATGCCGAG